GTGCTCAGGTCCAAGAACCAAAACCTCAGTCTTGTCTGTGTCCAAAAGGAGAAAATTAAGGGTCATCCAGGATTTTATGTCTTTAAGACATGCTTGTAGTCTAAGTAGCTGATTGGATTCATTGGGTTTAATGGACAAATATAATTGTGTGTCATCAGCATAACAATGGAAATTTATCCCATGCTGTTTAATAATTTTACCTAATGGAAGCATATATAAAGTAAAGAGTTTTGCCCCAAGCACTGAGCCCTGAGGAACTCCATGACTAAATTTGGTGTATGAAGATTTATTATTTACATTTACAAACTGGAATCTATCAGATAGATATGATTTAAACCATTTTAGAGCTGTTCCTGTAATCCCAATATCATATTCAAGCCTACGTAGTAAAATATTGTGATCAACCGTATCAAATGCAGCACTGAGGTCTAACAGGACCAGTGTAGACACAAGTCCATTGTCTGAGACCATGAGAATATCATTAGTGACTTTTACTAGTGCTTTTTCTGTGCTATGATGAACTCTAAACCCTGACTGAAACTTTTCAAACAGATTATTTCTTTTTAGATGTTCACGCAACTGACCTGCAACTATATTCTCTAGAATTTTTGAGATGAAAGTTAGATTAGATATAGGTCTATAGTTGGCCAGAATTTCTGAATCAAGGTCAGACTTCTTAAGTAAAGGTTTAATTACAGCAACCTTAATGCTCTGTGGTACATAACCATCCATTAAATACAAATTAAGTAGATCCAAAATGTGGACATTAATTAGGGGAAATACCTCTTTAAACAGTCTGGTTGGGATGGGATCTAGCAGACATGTCGATGGTTTGGATGAGGTTATTATTTTTGACAATTCAGAGAGCTCAACAGGACAAAAACTGTCCAAACATAAATCAGGCTCTAGTGAAATTTTTAAAGTTGCCTCATTTGACAGGGGACTAGAGATAGTAGAAGGAAAGATGGTTTGAATTCTCTCTCTAATTAAAATAATTTTATTTATAAAGAATCTCATGAAGTCATCACCACTTATAGTTGTAGGGATACATGGTTCAACAGAAATGGGACTTTTAATTAGTCTAGCAATAGTACTAAACAGAAACCTAGGGTTATTTTTATTCTCCTCTATTAAAGATGAGTAATATAAAGTTCTAGCTTTACGGAGAGCTTTTTTTATACATTAGCAGACTATCTTTCCAAGTTAAATAAAATTCTTCAACATTAGTAGAGCGCCATTTTCTCTCCTGGTTTCTAGATGCCTGCTTTAAAGTACGTAACTCAGAATTGAACCAAGGAGACAGTTTCCTCTGATTGATTACTTTCTTTTTCAGTGGAGCAATTTTATCAAGTTAAGTTTGCATTGAAGTTGTAAGATGATCAACTAGATGATCTAAGTCTCTGTTCTCTGATGCATTACTCTGCAAGACAGAGGAAAACATTGATGGAAGAGATTGTTTAAATTTGGTTACAGCATTTTCTGATAAGCACCTGCTGAGATGAAATTTACTCTCAGTGACTGTGTAGTCATTTAATGTAAACTCAAAGGTTATTAAAAATGGTTGAGGAACTATTACCAAGTCCTTAATCTGTATACCATAGGTCAGAACTAAATCAAGAGTGTGATGATAAGAATGAGTAGATGTGCGGACGTTTTGGGTAAAACCAAATGAGTCTATTAAATTATTAAAGGCTATGCT